TGGGATGCAGAGAAGGCCGTGCTAAGAGGAAAGTATGTTGCAATACAGTCCTACCTCAGGAAAGAAGAACAATCCCAAATGAGCAGTCTAAACTCACAATTAATGAAACTAGAAAAAGAAGAACAAATGAGGCCCACGGTCAGTAGAAGGAGGAACATAATAAAGATTAGAGCAGAAATAAAATCAACAAGAATAAAACAATAGACAGAATCAATGAAAGCAAGAGATGGTTTTTTGAGAAAATCAACAAAATAGATAAACCCCTAGCCTGACTTACCAAGAAAAAAAGAGAGTCTACTCACATAAACAGAATCAGAAAAGAGAAAAGAAAAATCACTACAGACAGCACTGAAATACAAAGAATTATTAGAGAATACTATGAAAAAGTATATGGTAACAAACTGGATAACCTAGAAGAGATGGACAACTTTCTAGAAAAATACAACCTTCCAAGGCTGACCCAGAAAGAAAAAGAAAATGTGAACAGACCAATTACCAGCAATGAAATTGAACCAGTAATCAAAAACCTATTTAAGAACAAAACTCCTGGACCAGATGGCTTCACCGCTGAATTTTATTAAACATTTAGTGAAGACCTAATACCCATCCTACTAAAAGTTTTCCAAATAGTAGAAGAAGAGTGAAATCTTCCAAACTCATTCAGTGAGGCCAGTATCACTCTAATATCAAAACCAGGCAAAGACCCCACAAAAAAAGAAAACTACAGACCAACATCCCTGATGAGCAGAGATGCAAAAATACTCAACAAAATATTAGCAAACTGAATTCAAAATACATATCAAAAAGATCATCCATCATGATCCAGCATGATCCATCATACATCAACTCAGGGATGCAAGGATGGTACAACATTCAAAAATCCATCAACATCATCTACCACATCAACAAAAAGAAGGATAAAAACCACATGATCATCATCTCCATAGATGCTGAAAAAGCATTCGACAAAATTCAACATCCATTCATGATAAAAACTCTCAACAAAATAGGTATAGAGGGAAAGTAACTCAACATAATAAAGGCCATATATGATAAACCCACAGCCAACATTATACTGAACAGCGAGAAGCTGAAAGCTTTTCCTTTAAGATCAGGAACAAGACAAGGATGCCAACTTTCCCCACTGTTATTCAACATAATACTGGAGGTCCTAGCCACCACAATCAGACAACACAAAGAAATAAAAGGCACCCGGATTGGCAAGGAAGAAGTTAAACTGTCCCTGTTTGCAGATGGCATGATATTGTACATAAAAAAACCCTAAAGAATCCACTCCAAAACTATTGGATCTGATATCTGAATTCAGCAGTTGTAGGATATAAAATTAATACACAGAAATCTGTGGCATTCCTTTACACTAACAATGAACTAGAGAGAGAAACCAGGAAAACAATTCCATTCACAGTTGCATCAAAAAGAATAAAGTACCTAGGAATAAACCTAACCAAGGAAGTGAAAGACCTATACCCTGAAAACTACAAGACACTCATGAGAGAAATTAAAGAAGATACCAATAAAAGGAAACACATATCCTATGCTCGTGTATAGAAGAATTAATATTGTCAAAATGGCCATCCTGCCTAAAGCAATCTACAGATTCAATGCAATTCCTATCAAAATATCAACAGCATTCAACAAACTAGGAGAAATCATTCTAAACTTCATATGGAACCACAAAAGACCCTGGATAGCCAAAGCAATCCTGAAAAGGAAGAATAAAGCTAGGGGGATCATTCTCCCCAACTTCAAGCTCTACTACAAAGTAATCAAGACAATTTGGTACTAGCACAAGAACAGACCCATAGACCAATGGAACAGACCAGAGAGCCCTGATACAAACCCAAGCATATATGGTCAATTAATATATGATAAAGGAGGCATGGACATACAAGGGGAAAATGACAGCCTCTTCAACAGTTGGTGTTGGCAAAACTGGACAGCTACATGCAAGAGAATGAAACTGGATCACGGTCTAACCCCATACACAAAAATAAACTCAAAATGAATCAAAGACCTGAATGTAAGTCATGAATCCATAAAACTCTTACAAGACAACATAGGCAAACATCTCCTGAATATAAGCATGAGCAACTTCTTCCTGAACACATCTCCTCAAGCAAGGGAAACAAAAGCAGAAATGAACTCATGGGACTACATCAAACTAAAAAGTTTCTGTACGGCAAAGGACACCATCAACAGAACAAAAAGACATCCTACAGTATGGGAGAATATATTTGTAAATGACATATCCAACAAGGGATTAACATCCAAAATATATAAAGAACTCACATGCCTCAACCCCCAAAAAGCAAATAACCCAATCAAAAAGTGGGCAGAGGATATGAAGAGACAGTTCTCCAAAGAAGAAATTCAGATGGCCAACAGACACACAAAAAGGTGCTCCATATTGCTAATCATCAGAAAAATGCAAATTAAGGCCACAATGAGATATGACATCACACCAGTAAGGATGGCCAGCATCAAAAAGACTAAGAACAACAAATGCTGGCAAGGATGTGGAGAAAGGGGAACCCTCCTGCACTGCTGGTGGGGATGCAAGCTAGTTCAACGATCATGGAAAGCAATATGGAGGTTCCCAAAAAAACTAAAAATATTTGACCCAGGAAGCCCACTCCTTGGAATTTACCAAAAAAATACAACTTCTCAGATTCAAAAAGACATATGCACCCCTATGTTTATCGCAGCACTATTTACAATACCCAAGAAATGGAAGCAACCTAAGTGTCCATCAGTAGATGAATGGATAAGGAAGATGTGGTGCATATACACAATGGAATATAATTGAGTCATACGAGTAAAACAAATCCTACCATTTGCAACAACATGGATGGAGCTGGAGGACATTATGCTCAGTGAAATAAGCCAGGTGAAGAAAGACAAGTGCCAAATGATTTCCCTCATTTGTGGAGTATAACAACGAAGCAAAACTGAAGGAACAAAATAGCAGCAGACTCACAGACTCCAAGAAAGGACTAGTGGTTACCAAAGGGGAGGGGTGGCAGAGGGTGGGTGGGGAGGAAGGGATAAGGGGATGAAAGGGTATTATGTTTAGTACACATGGTGTGGTGGATCACGGGGAAAACAGTGTAGCACAGAGAAGGCAAATAGTGAATCTGTGCGTCTTGTGGCACTGATGGACAGTGACTGCATTGGGGTATGGGTGGGGACTTGATAAAAAGGGTAAATGTAGTAACCACATTAGTTTTTCATGTGAAACCTTTGTAAGAGTGCATATCTATAATACCGTTAAAAAAAGAAAAACCTGGCCACCACTTTACAACCTATAAATAAATAAATAAATAAGTGAATGAATGAATAAATAAATAAATAAAATTGAACTATTATTTTTTTATTTCTAATAGTATTGTTTCTTTACCAAACTGACTAATAATTTTGGATAATTTTTAATTTATTTTTGTGTTTCCAGAATTTATTGCTTTAAATATTTTGTGCATAATTATGTCATGCCATACATATCTGATAATGTCAGTATCTGATATTCTTCAGGTTCTAAATCTGTATTGATGTTTCTGCTTGCTAACAGAAAAGTTGACTTGTCTTGCATGTTTGCTGATCTATGTTTATGATCTTATAATTTTAATATGTGGGAATCCTGGAGAACTAAAGTGGGAGTGCTTTCTCCTAGAGGACTTGATATTGGCTCTTCCAGATGCCAGGAGGTACTACTTACCTGCAACTACCTTAGGTCCTTTCTGGGGTTCATTACTTAATGCAGAAGTCTCACATTCAGTTCTCTTTGCATTTTTCTCAAAGCTTAGTCTCCTAAGAGAGTTATGTACCATCCGCTCTCCTGGTGATTGGACTGGACTTCACACTTGGATTGGGACTATACCATTGGCGCTCCTGGGTCTCCAGCTTGCTGACTTACCCTGCAGATCTTGGGACCTCCATATTCATGTGAGTCAATTCCTTATAATAAATCTCTTTATGCACACACACACACACATACATGCACATGAGCAGTCTATTGGTTCTGTTCCTCTGGAGAATCCTGACTAATACACTCATATAAGTGAAATCATACAATATTTTCCTTTGATGTCTGGTCTATTTCATTTAGCATAATGTTTTTAAGGGGCATCCTTATTGTACACATATCAGAGATATACCCTTTTTAAAATAGGAATGCCCTCTTGAATATGTATTATCGATACTCTAGTCCATTAAACTGCCAGAAGCAGAAGTCTTTAATCCAGGCTTGAAGGACCAGGAAATTCTTCTTGGAGGAGATGATGTTTATCTGAGACTTGAAGATGAGCCAGGTGAAAGTGGGAAGTACCTAGAAAAAGTGTTCTAGGTAGAAGAAACAGTACATATAAAAGCCTGGTGTGAGAAAGAATACGCTGTTTTTAGGGACCTCAGAGTTTCTTATTATGAGTTTAGAAAGCAAAGGAGCAAGTGGCAAGAGACTGTACTAGAGAGATTGGTAAGGGCCATACAATGGCTAATTCTTAGTGAAAAAGAAGACGAGAGACCATAGAGATGAACTACTCATTCTCCCATTACTCATAGTAAGAGACTAATTAGCACAGTTTGTTGACCCAACCAACAAACTCACATCAAGAAGGAAGAGACTGGGTCACTAAAGGTAAAGGTCAATGAGGCTTGGGAATCTAAGTTGCTGATGAGGATACAGACATTATTAAGGATTTGGCAAATAACAAATTCTTCTTCACCCCTATGATTCTTGCTATCATCCTGGGTGACACCAACATCCATGAGGATAATCAACTTGGATCTGCCCTGCCCTTTCCTGGGATTATCTGTCCTTTCTTAAAGTTGCTGTGCCCTTCCAGAATGCGTTCATGGTATCCTATTACTATAGATAATCAGTAAAGTTTATCATCTTCAAAGTTTGGTCATATATCCACCTTGTTATGTTTTGAAATGTCAAGTTCTTATAGAAGTTTCATGCATTTCCTATGAGACTGGCATACCTTTACTTTGCCATTCTGGAGAAATGGAGTCCAGTTATGGCCATCTTGACTACTGGAGATGAGGAACTCCTTCACATACATGCTGGTAAGAAGAGACTTCACCCCCTGTGTGGTTATTCCTGTGACTTTCATTGTCTTCTGGAAGTCCACTTGCAGCCACTCTTTTGGATTATTCACCTGAGGAAGTTAATTAGACTAGTATCCTGTTGAACACTAATTGCTCCCACAAATCACCAAATCCCTTCTTTATAACCATATCACACCACTTATCACTCTGCATTTTAATGGTCTGTTTGTCAGTCTCCCTTATTAGACTCTAAGCAACTTGAAGGCCAAAATTTTTCATGAACCACCTCTGTATCCCCACGGTCAGCCATTTAACAGTTGCCCAGTAAATGCTTACTGAATGAATCTATGAGCCATATATAGATGGCCTAGAGTGTTAAAAGTTTGGCAATGTATTATACAACCTGTTTTGTTTAAAATAAGCCCCTGGAGGAGCAGAAGCCATTTACTCCATTAATCCCCAAAGTTACTCAGCGATTGAAAATCATAAGACTGAGTGCTTCTGGAAAAGAACTGTGCCCAATGAACTGTACATGACTGTGAACCTTACTTTTGAAAAACATGCAAAGAGGGCTAATTATTGATAGTTCTCTGTAAAATTGGACTTCAGCTACTCTAATTCTTTGACAAAGATTAGCGCAGAATTGTATATAGAGATTCTGTTTCCACGAGGTTCAATTAGGGATCATCTCCCTCAGTGAATGCTGTCTGAAATCACATGGCACATCCACTAAATATCTGTGGCGTTTTCAGCCCATAGTCAACTCTCCTTGACACTCTTTTGGGAACAACCAGGTGACAGAAGTACCACTGCAGAAACGGTCAAGGGCTTTCCATATTCTTCCCACTACTCCGGCTTCTCTGTCAGTTTAATGGCAATTCTTTTGCCTCTTACCCGGGGTCTCCACGCATTAGTCCTCCCCTGGAGATGAAGTCGTGCTTGTGAAGGAGACCAGGTGGCAAACATACTGTTTAAGTAGGATGAGGCAGTAATCTGCGCATCTGAGATTGCTTTATTCTCCATTCCCAGCGGCATGCTGCAACCTCAAAGAGATAAAAGAAGATGATCACACAAGCAAGATGTAGTCTACGTTCTACTGGCCCGCCTCCACTGACACTCCAGGGCTATTGTCATTATGACACCATTTCCCAGGCATTAACTTTTGCACAGATTCTGTTATTGTTAACATGCTTCCTGTTTTCTGCTCAGCTCTGACTCTGATTTGCCTTGTTAACAGCAGTGTAGGAGGTGGCTGCCCCCAGGGAAATCCACACAATTAGAATGACCAGATCCTGGCTTGCCCAGTACTGTGCTGTCCTAGGAAGTACCCCCTAGTGTCAGGAAAATCAGACTGTTAGTCACCCTACCCGTGATTGGGAGAGGGAGGGATATGGTAACTTGGCACTTACTGTTTAAATCACAGCCCATCAATTCCATGCGAAGAGTGCTGCGAATGCTGTAATGCGTTGGGTGCAAACGGATGTATTGAGCAATAATTGGAGGGTTAAAAATATTGTGTTTTATTCCAGATGAATCCACATTGCCAAAGAAGACCTTCAGGGAGGGATAAGGACAGATACAGAAAAAGTGAAGATAACAGTAAAAAGCAATTCTTCCCAATCGTTTCTTCCTTCTACTTTTGCTTCGTGGATTTCTCAGCAACACCCAACACTCAAGTAAAACTATACAGATGTTACGATGGAATGAATATGTGAGGAGAACCAGGAGGAAGAATGGAATAAGGGTGATTAGGTCCGGGCAGTTTAAATAGTCTTCTACTTTGGGTCCTGTAAAAGGCTTATCAAAGTTGAAGGAAGCCATCTAGGGCTTTGCTAATCCAGTATGGGCCACAGACCAGCAGCATGAGTGTATCCTGGGAGCAATTAGAAATGCAGTATCAGATTCTGCTGTTGTTGACATGCTTATGCTACACGTACTGAATCAGAACATGAAGTTTGAGAAGCACGAGCTTAGGGCAGAGTCAGCTGTGGGGGAGCACTGCGAGCAGGCAGCCTACCACACTGGTCTCAGAATGATCTTCCACGAATGTGGGCTCTGTGTGTATGTGTGAGCTGTGCAGCGTTAACTAATGATTCCTTGTGTATGAATTTATGAGACATATGTTAATATTGAACATGTGAGGTTTAGGACCTTGACAGAGAAATATGGTGGAAGTGCCAATTCAAAAGTTCTAGATTTAAACTGTGACATATAGTATAAGGGAAGTTGAAAATCATATCTCATAAAACACTGGGATTCTCATAAAACACTGGGATTCTTTACCTGCTTGAATACACTAAAATAGGAATCAATATGTCTGTTACACAATCACCCATCAGAGCTGTAGTATTATAGGGCACTTAAAAAATTGTTTTGCCATGTAACAAACTTTTCCTTTTATAAGATAAAAATTAATATTTTTAGCATTGTTCCAGAAATCACAGCACTTTTTTGATGAATATATTTGCTTTGATTTTTAGTCAATCCTGTGTCTTGATTAGGACTCTTCTTAGGGAGAAAATGTATTAATTGAACAAATAGTTAATGACTACATAAATCCTAGATTCCAGCTATTATGTGACAGGAACTATACTAGGTGGCTTCACTGGTGAAGTCTATTAAATGTTTAAAGAAGGACTAACACCAATCCTTCCCAAACTCTTCCAAAACAGAAAAGGAGGGAAAACTTCCTAATTCATACTACAAACCTGGCATTTCCTCAATACCAAAGCCAGTCATACTTCACAAGAAAAACATTACAGACCAATATCCTTTACAAATATAGATGCAAAACACCTCGAAAGAATTTTACCAAATTGAATCCAGCAACATATTATAAATATTACATTCCATGTCCAATAACAATTCTTCCAGGGATGCAAAAATACTTCAACATAAGAAATCTGATTAATCAATACATGAATAAAAATAAAGGGGGGAAAACACGTTATTATCTCTAAGTTTTTGTTACCCTCTGTTGCTGTTGTGGAATCTGGTTACAGTGCTCCAGCTTTCTTGCACAGGGACCATTGCGGAAGATTGGAAGCGTGTAGATTGTAAGGCAAGAATACTGGAGGGGTGGAGTGTGGGGAAGTTGGGGCTCCTACGGCCAGGATCCCACTGAACTTAAACCACCTGATGATGTAACTGGCCTGTTGCTAGGCTACCGCTTCCACACCTTTAGGCAGTAAGCTATTATTGCACTACATAGAGAGCTCGGCCCAGTGCTCTGGGCGGAAGCAGAGACGCTAGTGCTCGACCTACCGCCCGAGAACAAACCGGGTAAGAAACCCTTTCACCACAAAGAAACATTCTTCTGTCATTTCTTTGGTCACATTGAATTCATAGTGAACTTGCCGGGGGCTGAAACCCATTGGCAAGACACGTGCAAAGTCGAATTTAGGGTCGCGCGGCGTCACGAGCTGAGTTTTGATAGTGCTACGTTAGAGATGCTAGGAGACGCCTTATAGCAACCTGGGCAAACAAGCTGTCACCTAGCGACAGCTGGCATCGGGCACGGCCTCGCCCCGGGACCCCGGAAGGGTGCTCTCGCAGCTCGCCGTGAGGCCCCGCCTCCGAGCCTGACGGTTTGCATATCACCAGGGCAACGGGGCGCGCGGGGACGCCCGGGCGGGACGCAAGGCTGGTCGCAGCCCGCACCGGCGCAGGCACGTCCGCCCAGCTGCGTCAGCGCTGGGTCGGCGAACATGGCGGCGTCCGCGGCGGGCCTGAGCGGCGGTGCGAGCCCAGGGCTCGAAGCCGGGGACTTCCTGGCCCGGTACCGCCAGGTGTCGAACAAGCTGAAGAAGCGGTTCCTGAGGAAGCCGAACGTGGCAGAGGCGGGTGAGCAGTTCGGACAGCTGGGCCGGGAACTGCGCGCCCAAGAGTGCCTGCCCTACGCGGCCTGGTGCCAGCTGGCCGTGGCGCGCTGCCAGCAGGCGCTCTTCCACGGGCCCGGGGAGGCGGTGGCGCTCACCGAGGCCGCCCGGCTCTTCCTGCGGCAGGAATGCGACGCGCGCCAGCGCCTCGCCTGCCCCGCCGCCTACGGGGAGCCGCTGCAGGCCGCCGCCAGCGCCCTGGGCGCCGCCGTGCGCCTGCACCTCGAGCTGGGCCAGCCGGCCGCCGCGGCCGCCCTCTGCCTTGAGCTGGCCGCCTCGCTGCGCGACCTGGGTCAGCCGGCCGCCGCCGCCGGCCACTTCCAGCGCGCCGCCCACCTGCAGCTACCGCAGCTGCCCCTGGCCGCGCTGCAGGCGCTCGGCGACGCCGCCTCCTGCCAGCTGCTGGCACGCGACTACAATGGCGCCTTGGCGATCTTCACGCGCATGCAGCGCCTGGCGCGCGAGCACGGCAGCCACCCGGCGCGGCAGCCTCCGCCCCTGCCGCCGCCGCCGCCGCCGCCGCCCCTGCCGCCGCCAGGGCCCCACCCGGGACCCGGCGCGGCCCCCGCGCTGCCCGCCGCTCTGCTCCCCCCGAGTGCCGGCCCTGCGGCTGCGCCTTCTCCCGCCGCGCTGGGCGCCTTCTCGGACGTGCTGGTCCGCTGCGAGGTGTCTCGCGTGCTGCTGCTGCTGCTCCTGCAGCCACCACCTGCCAAGCTCCTGCCAGAGCATGCCCGCACCCTGGAGAAGTACTCCTGGGAAGCTTTCGACAGCCACGGGCAGGAGAGCAGCGGCCAGCTTCCCGAGGAGCTCTTCCTGCTGCTGCAGTCCTTGGTCATGGCTACCCAGGAAAAGGACACGGAGGCCATCAAGTCACTGCAGGTGGAGATGTGGCCGCTGTTGAGTGCCGAGCAGAACCACCTCCTTCACCTCATTGTGCAAGAAACCATCTCGCCCTCAGGACAGGGGATCTGATGCATCATGCTAACCAAGTGACTGTTGGCTTTTTACCAAACCTCACGTGCCCTTTGCGTTTGGCGTGGGGTAGCAGGCGGGGAAGAAAAGACACTGATCTCGGCAGTCCTACCTTTATCTTATTCCTCTTGCCACCGTAGGAATTTAGTTGACTGAAAGTTACCTGTATCCCAAAGACTTACTTCCATAATAGTGGGAGGTAAAAACCAATATGATATAATTGGAGTAGAGAACATGACTCTCAGTCCCAAAATTGCAACATAAAAATGAGAATCCGTTTTGTCCCCTTCCTCTATTTCCACCCAACTCATCCCGCCCCCACTCCGCCGCCTGCATCTTTGTTTCATAGTAAGGACTTTATTTTGCACAGCTCTGTCTAAATACTTAAGCTATATGAGTTTGTTTGTTTTGTAAACTTCACTCTGATTCCTTAGCGTTTTTCTATGTCTACCCCATACATATTCCTGGGAGTCATTTGATTACATACATCATTGTTGCTACAGCCCTAAATCCATGATAAAGCCATTCTAATACTCCTAACTTGTGGTTTAGATTCACTTCATCTATAAAATGGGAATAGTTTATCTGCATATCAGGAAGCAGAGAGCAAAAATGGCCAAGCTGTCTCAGCTATAAGATGTAGTCCGTCATTTGATGCTGACAGTGCACCTAGTATGAGGCCTATGCTAGGCAGTGAACCTGCAGAGATCATTTGCAGAGTGGTCCTTAATCAGCTGCTATGCAGTTGTGGCTGGGGAGGCCAGGGTGTGTCAGTTGTGCATTGGAATTCACAGTTTCAGTTCTGTTCTGAGAGGTACGTGTAATCCACAGGACAGCTTTTATCTGAAACTCCCACTTACCTGAATATACATAAGATCAGTATGGTTCTTTGGTATTGTCATGTGTGTGCAAAACAAGTGTCCTTGTTTCCCAAAAGCAGCATGGCAGGCCATTTTAAAACACTCAAGTTTCAAGGTATTTTTTTTTGTCCAAATGTACACAGTACTAATCTTTTCGGGTGACATTTAAGGACAGTTTGGGGTAAGTGTGTGGACCATTATCAGAATGAGTTAAGTGCCTCAAAATGTGGGGGGGGGGAGTCTTTTAGGGTATTCTACTTCTGTTTCGACTATGTGCAAGTAATAGGTAAGTGAAAAAGGACATACAGGAGAGGCGCATTCCATGCTGTCACTGGGCAGTCAGGAAGGGTCCTTCAGAACCCTGAAAGCCAAGTCCAACTTTTTGCAAAGGGGGCAAGGGTGCGTTCTCTTTTGTGCTTTTGCTCTTTCTGGTATGTTCCTCCCAACCCTTGCTGCAAGCCTGGACAACTGCCCTAATGTCTTATGACTAATGTTTAGGAGTTGTGGAATGTGACTGGTGATGGTATCTGGATTTGGGCTTAAGGAAAAGCCTCCTTTGGCCTGTGGTCTTAACTCCTTGCACTGATGAGATGGTGGGAGGGATTACCAGAGAGCTTGGTATTTTGGTATATTGGATATACAGTATAATTCAGGAAATACTGAAGCTTCTCCATTTTCCATTGGCTAATTTACATATCACCCTCAGAAACTTCCTAACACAGATAACTGGGCTCAAGCCAAATTTCAGTGATTTTGACAGCTCTCGCTGTATGTCAGCTTAATATCAAAATTAACACTGATTTCTAACATGACCAAAAGCTAAATACTTTTAAAAGGACAGCATTAGTCTTTAACTTGAAAACCAGAAGGAAAGCTCTACATCTCTGAAATGTTCATTGACAATTCAAGACTAATATTTAAAATGTGAACTGATGAAAATGGTGACAGTGAAACAGTGATCCTTAAAGAGTGTTCAGGTTGGGACGTTCCAACCTGAAGCCCCATTTATGAGGGACTTCTTTTTTTTTTAATTTTTATTAAGGTATTATCGATATACACTCTTATGAAGGTTTCACATGAAAAAACAATGTGGTTACTACATTTACCGCTATTATCAAGTCCCCACCCACACCCCAATGCAGTCACTGTCCATCAGTGCAGCAAGATGCCAGAGTCCTTGTCTTCTCTGTGCAACACAGTTTTCCCCGTGATCCCCCACACCATGTGTACTAAATGTAATACCCCTCAATCCCCTTCTCCCACCCCCACCCCTCCCCTTTGGTAACCGCTAGTCCCTTCTTGGAGTCTCTGAGTCTGCTGCTATTTTGTTCGTTCAATTTTGCTTCGTTGTTTTACTATGAGGGACTTCTTTCATGAAAAATAGTCCTTATGAAAAAATATTTTGTATGTGAATAATACAATGGCATATAAACCACTATGCTAGAGGATGACTAAGAGTGGATTTTGTAAATAAGGCAAGCGCTGGGATGGAAGAGTTCCGGTCACTATTAACTGTTTGGGCATCTCTACTGCCATGGCACTAGACCACCATTCTGCAAAGCTTTTATGCAAAGGACTAGGTGGAAATTATTTAGTCTTTTCAGGCAGTAAGTGCTCTCTGTTTCATGGTCTTGTTTGTTTTTGCCACTTTAAATGTTAAAACCAGTCTTAACTCACATTCCATACAAAGGCAGGTTTTGGTCCAAATCCATGGGCTCTAGCTTGCCTGCCCCTCTACTAGTATTTAGAACATAGTAGTTACTCAGTAACTTTTAAATGAATGACCGTCGAGAGAGTGGTTAACTATTTTATCATTATCATTGAACAAGAAACACTGAAAATAAATGAACTAGTCCTTCAGATCCAGATTCTAGGAAAAGAAAATAAACCAAAAAAAGTGAAAGAGAATTTAGGGGAAGGAAACCCAAGATGGCAGAGTTGGAAGAAGCTGAGCTCACCTCTTCCCATGTATGTACCAAATCTACCCCTAGATACAGAGCAATTCCTCCTAAGGAAGAACTGAGGGCTCAGTGGATGGCTTCTACACGATCAGGTTAGAGAGACCACATAAAAAAATGGAAGGAGAGAGAGACATGGCAATAGTGAGGACCTCCCCCCACCACAATACAGTGACCTGCAGCAGGGAGGGTATCAATGAGGGACCTGCACACAGATTCACCTGCTCTAGTGAACAGAAAAAAAAACCCCAAAGTTTAAAGGACAATGAGAGTATAGGTAAAGTAAGCTGCTTTACTTAATATAGAATCCGTCAAATGGTTGGGGAGCTGCTAGAATCTTTGGGATCAGAGGTGCTGGTGAATGCCCTTGTTTATTTACTGCTGCATATTCATAGAAGGTATGGTAGCATGGTTCAGAGTCCCAAAGTCCACATCAGCTTCAGACATCTCCCAAGGTGGCCTCCTACCACTGCCTGAGCCCAAATGCACCAGCACTGCATAGTGGGACTCCTCTGGACTGTAACTCTGGCCCCCAATCCCACCACCAGGGTTCCCCAGCCCAGGCATGTAAGGGTATCCCCCTCACCTGTACTCACATAGCCCCAGCCAGCTACCCAAAGCCATCAGGCATACACAAGTCTACCTGGGGGACATCCTACCCAAGGTCACTCCTTCAGGAGTAGGAGAGGTAGCTGCTTCACCTAATTCATTGAAACAGATGGAAATAATAAAAAATAAGAACAGGAGACAGAGGCATATTCTACAAACAAAAGAACAAGACACACCTCAGAAAGATAACTGAAATGGAGTTAAGCAATCCATCTGATAAAGAGTTCAAAGTAATGGTTATAAAGTTATTTGCCAGACTTGAAAGGAGAGTGGCTGAACCCAAGGAGGATTTCAACAAAGAGAAGATATAAAAATAATCAGAGTCAAATAATATAAAAAATGAAATGGAAAACACACTAAAGACAATCAACAACAGATTAGAGAATGCAGATCAATGAATCAGCAATGTGGAATACAGGGTATGGAAACCACTCAAGCTGAGCAGCAAAAAGAAAAAAAGAACTAAAAAAATGAGGATAGGTTCAGAGATCTCTGTGACAACATCAAACATACTAACATTTGCATTACAAGAGTCTTAGAAGGAGTAGAGAGAGAGAAAGGGGTGGGAAACTTATTTGAAGAGATAATAGCTGAAAACTTCCCTAACCTAGGGAAGGAAACAAACATCCAGGTTCAGGAAGTACAGATTCCTTAAACAAGATGAACCCAAGGAGACCCATACCAAAACATGTAATTAAAATGTCAAAGATTAAGGAATCTTAAAAGCAGCAAGAGAAAAACAATGAGTTATGTATAAGGGAAACCCCGTAAGACTCTACTGGTATTTCAACAGAAACTACAGGCTGGAAGAAGTGGCATGATATATTCAAAGTTAAAGGAGTTCACCTTAAAGAAGAGACCAATAAATGGAAATACATCCTGTGCTCATGGATAGGAAGAATTAATATTGTCAAAATGGCCATCCTGCCTAAAGCAATCTACAGATTCAATGCAATTCCTATCAAAATACCAACAGCATTCTTCAATGAACTAGAGAAAATCGTTCTAAAATTCATATGGAACTGCAAAAGATGCCGAATAGCCAAAACAATCCTGAGAAGGAAGAATAAAGCTGGGGGGATTATGCTCCCCAACTTCAAGCTCTACTACAAAGGCACAGTAATCAAGACAATTTGGTACTGGCACAAGAACAGACCCATAGACCAATGGAACAAACTAGAGAGTCCAGATATTAACCCAACCACATATGGTCAATTAATATATGATAAAGGAGCCATGGACATACAATGGGGAAATGACAGCCTCTTCAACAGCTGGTGTTGAAACTGGATTATTGTCTAACCCCATACACAAAAGTAAACTCAAAATGGATCAAAGACTGAATGTAAGTTATGAAACCATAAAACTCTTAGAAGACAACATAGGCAAAAATCTCTTGAATATAATAGTCACTGTGGCAACACCTGTAGCATCATCTGATTGTAGAGTGATCTATCTTTCTGTGGCCCTTATTTTTACAGCATATGTAGGGAAAAAAGAAATGTTATGAATATGTACAAAGAAGAATATGCATGAACATACATGGAGAATCAGGACACATCCATGGAACTCTGGAAGAGTCTTACATATCCTGTGGTTGTATATACAGATAACTTAGACTTAAGAACAAGACTAGGACCTGAGCATATGAATTGCAGAGTTGTAGTGACAGTTAATCCTCAATCCCACCCAGTCTATTATGCTAATATAAGGACACTAGCAGAAATGTCAATTTTGTCTCCCAGTGTCTTCCTTCTGTAACTCGTCTCCCCAAGCAAGAAAATTATACCTATGTTCCTCTAATATATTATCAATATAATCCTAGAATTACATTTTGAGGATCTACTTCTTGGGGCTACTTTTGGCAGCAATAACTGTATGAGACAGTAATTATTTGAACAAGAAATGGGGAATACTCAAATTAGGATATTTTGAGGAAAGTTTAATAAAGGTACTAGCTAGGAACCTAGTAGCAGGGTATTACCATCTCTAGGCCTAGAGGGATGAGGAGAGGGAGCAGAATACTAAAGGAGAGAATTAGGTAGATTCTTGTAGTGGTTTACAAAAATGATCACAAACACTTTTTACATTCCTCCCATTGAGAAGTGGGGTCTATATCCCAGCCCCTTGAATCTGACTTGCTTATACCCAACTTGCTCATATTCCAAGAATGTATTGAAAGTGACGCTATGTGACTAGATCAGAAGAGGTGATGTAGCTTCGACCTTATTAGCTGGAATACTCACAGTTAGAGTCCCTAAGATACCATGTAGATACCATGTAAGAAGTCCTATTGTCTTGAAACTGTCAATGCTGTCAGAAGTCCAGGCCTCATTGAAAGGCCATGCAAAGTTACTTTACTCAATAGCCCCATATGCTGTCCTAGCTAGGTTACTCAGCACCAACCACCACTTGTGTAAGTGAAGGTGCTTTCAGATGATTCCAGCCCCCAGCTGTTAAATATTCCCAGCTGAGGCCCCCCCCCCCATATTGTGGAGCAGAGAGGCAAGCCATCCCTGCTGTGCCCCATTCAAGTCCTGACTCACAGAATCAGTGAACAAAATTATTGTTTTTATGACATTAAGTTTTGGGGTGGTTTGGTACTCAGCAATAGTAACTGGAGCAGGTGAAGAAAGCCACTTTGAGGGGAACAGTGACAGTGGAGAGATACAGCCAGGAGAATCAATATCCTGATCTTACTCTTTTCTATTCCTCTGATCTCTTGCCAGTGCTTTTTGTTGGTGAAACCCAACACAAAACTAGAGGATAAGGTAGTTTGTTGATGTATTTCACACAGACCAAGTTCATGAAACAAGAAGGAGGGTAGAGAAGGGGGAAAATTGATCTAAAGACGCAAACAACTCATCTTGCACAGGGCCATTTGAGGACTTTGAGATTTATTCTGAAGACAGGAGGGAGACACTGACAAGGCTTTAGGCAGGGGACTGATAAGATGATCATCCCCAAAATGATGTGCAGCTTTTATGAGAGAAGAAGAGACTAGAAACAGGAAAAGACTAGCAAGGAATGCAACATAATAGGTCCAGTATGAGGTGATGGGGCCTTGGGCTGTAGTATAAATGAAATAGAGGAAATGTAAGAAGAAGCATTGCAAATGATAAGTTGACTATAAGTAAAGGTCTTGAGCTCACCCCTAGAGAATTCATCATTTCCCAACGTTTCACCCATCTCTTTATGTGGAAGATGCAAAACTTCACCTCCATTCATGGTTTTGCCTCCTAAACTCAAGTTTTTACCTTCTGCCTGCTGGACATTCAACCTGATTGCCTATTACTGGAAATCCATAAGGAAACTCACAATTTTATCAATCCACCCAGTCCTGAATTGTATATTTCTGCCAAGAGAGCATCTTTTCATTTCTGTTATCTGTAAGATCCTTGGTGCTCCCACTTTTTAGTCCATATATTCATAATCACTATAATTGTCTATAAGTGGCAAATTCTTTTTGGAGTTAAGTTTGTAGAAGCTAGGACTGTTTGACTCATATCTGAAATCTGCCAAACACTCTTTAAAATACTCATGCATTGTCTTGAAAGGACTAATTACATACCATTAAGGTCCCAGTGGAATTCCCTCGATAACTCTGCCACTTCTTTCCATCCAGACTATACATGATGATAAACTGAGAGATGTAGAGGCTGGAGAACTTCTGACGGGCACCCTGGGTCATGATGCTGTGAATAATCATTGGTGCCAACAGATCCACCTACCAATTAAAATGACACTTTGAATGTATGTATCACCTTCTGATATTAATTAGTAAAGGAGAAGTTACATTGATACAGATACGCCTAGTAATACCTTGGAGGTGCAGGTGAAGGAGATACCAATGTTGAAATGTGGATGTGTGTGAAGGTGTGGGGTAAATGATGAGAATGAGAAGGAAAGGTGTTATTGGGTCCCCAGCCTACTTCCCGTCAAACCAGACCACTTCCACATCACTGGGCCCCACTGCCTCTATACACATCCTTTGTGTATAGAGAGGCACATAATCTCTTTGCTGCACATAGCCTAGTGCTTTGCCCCTACCTCAGCCTCAGCCTAGCCAAAGCCAATTTCCTCCCCTCTCCCCAGACCGCCCCTCATCCCAACATCACCACCTGTGAGAAGCTGCTATCCTTCCTTCAAGTGTTAGATCAGAAACTATTTCTCCTGGTTAGCCTTTCCTGACTCAACCAAATTTCATGCTGTTTCTTTCATGCTTCCCCTTCCCTTTGCATATAACTTTATTATAGCAAATTAGAACATCATGTTATAAAAGTTTCATTGCTTATCTGCCTTCCTTGTTAGACTGGCAGTGAACCTGTTTGAATCACCTAACCTCTCTGTGTCTCAATTTCTTTATCTGTAAAATGGAGATAATAATGGTGTGTATCTCAAGGTGTTTTTGGGAGGATTAAAAAGTTAGTAAAGGTAGTGTGCTGAGTTCAGTGCCTGGCACATACTAAACACTTAATAAATGTTAGCTTTTATATTCTCTCTAGCACCAGTAACTAATATGGAATCTGGTATAATACTGATGTTTAGCAAATGTTTTATAATGAATAAGTGAATAATGACAGAGCGGTATGGCTGGTTCTTAAGAGGGCATGGACCATGGAGGCATTACAAGAGGGTATCTACTACAAGAATTTTGGCCTCAGTTACTGCCCTAACAAGGAAGTCAAACTTAACTTCCCACAGATGCCTGGCCCACTCAAATCGGACTGGTCATGACTCTCGTACTTTAATGACTGTCTGTCCTTCAGTTGACTGTAACTTGCATCCATCCATCCATTAACTGAAAGAATATATTTTTAGCACTTGTTACATGCCAAGCACTGTTCTGGCTACTGGGAATACAGTAGTGAGCAAGAGAAAAAAAAAGGCTTGCCCTCATGAGACTTACATTTGAGTTGGGAAAACAGACTATCATATTTATGTTTTTATTTGTTTATAGGAGCAAGTAGTGATAAATTGAGGCAAGATAACAGGATAGAGAATGGCAAGGTCTGCAGAAGCTACAGTGCTGTGTTTTCCCAGATTAGGTGATACTCCCAATCGGAGAAAATTCATTTTTCCTCTTGACGTTATGGCATAAAAAAATGAAAATACTAGGTGCAAAAATCATGACTTTTGTTGAACTGATTTGTACTGTTTCTTCATATAGTGTATGAGAGGTCTTTTTTGGACCACTGACTGTTGTATCTTCTAGCAATTTTAAGAAAGCCTTTAGCAGTTCTAATAAAGCCTTGACAACTACCTTTTCCACCTACACTCTGTAACTGATGAATTCTTGGCAAACTGCCTATCTTATCTACTTAATCTTTGTTGTGCATCTTCTACATTATGATTGGGATCTTGGAGCAATTTGGCAATTACAGATTCAATACTTTCACCTAGGTATCCAGCCAGACACTTGAATGTGACAGTAAGACACGTCTCTCTATGAGGAAGTAAGGTGGTGATGAGTGACTCAGTGTATAAATACAAACATTGCAGCTGGACATCTCCATGCAGCCTGCCTGCTCTTGGTCACCCGATGCCCCTCAAGCCAGCCCAGTGCTTTCATGCCTGGTGGCCTGGCTGTTGTCACTCCTCAGGCCTTCTCACCAGAATAGATGCCAACCCCAACTCCCCTCCCTGTCAGCACCCCTTCAACTCCAACTCGCTACCTGCTGGTTTCCTGGAAACATTTCTTTATTTTATAAAGTTACCAGATCAAGAAAATCCATATCTGGACAGATGGCAAAAACACCTTGAGGATAAGGTGACTTAATATAGACTGAATGGAAATCCAAGATGGATTTGTAACTGGTTCAATTACCATAAACAAACAGTGGCAGTTAATAGATGGTTATTGACCTACAGGTAACATTCTGGAAACAGCATAGTATAATGATTATGAATTAGGGCTTTGGAGCTCAACTGTCAGGGTTTGGATTTTGGCTCAGCCACTTATTGGATGTGTGAGTTGAGGCAACTTATTTAACTTTTCTGTGCTTCAACTTCCTTATCTGAAAAGAGGATGATAATAACATCTACTTCATAAGGTTGGGGTAAGGATTTAATAGCTTGATTTGTTTTAACCACACAGGAAGGAAGCCCTGTCTACTTCAATATTTTGATCATGAGTTTTCTAAAGTCATGATCAAAAGTTTGCTGAGCAAGTCAGTAAAACTACGTGAAACTGGAAAGACTAGGAAATTCTTTGGGGGACAGAAGCTTGGTAAGCTGAACAATGAGCCAAATCTTATAAGCAGAAATTTAACAGGGTGTATCTATCAGTCAGGGTTCTTTTGGTAGGCATGGAAAAGGCACTCTATTTGCTGGGCTCATCAGATTATATTCAGTGAGGGTGGTATAATTTCCCAAGTGGAAATAAGAATGCTATTAGAAAAAAAACAAATAAATAGATGTAAGGTAGTCAAATACATTAAACTGTCTACGACCCAGAGATACTTGTAAGGTTAGAGTAATAACTGCAGAAATACCAACAAACATTCTTAGGGATTAGTGAACAGTCAGCTCATAATTGGCAGTGCCTACAAAAAAAAACACAATGAGCTGATGCAGCATAAACAGATGTGCTCTTTGCATCTTACCCCTTATTGGTAAAGCCAGTTTATCTTTCCTTGATCCCTATTTATTATCTTAACCTTAGGAAAAATAGAGGAGCAGGTGTGACCTTGCAAAGGAGGAAAATATGTCAAGGAATGTACTCAGCCAACTAAGAAGAGGAAGAAGAAAGTGGGTGAACTATGAGGAAAGGATGGAGGTGAGGGAAGTAGGTGGTAAGCATGTCTGCATTTGTCCCTCTCCAGGCTGTAAGGACCAGAGGTGGAAGGCATGTTGGACAGGTCGAAAGCAAAGCTGGAAGCAGAAAATTTTCTGCTATTTTCTGTTTGGGCTCTGAAAGGAACATACCTTTGTGATTAGGCACAGACTGGGTTGGCACTTCCAAGCCTCCCTCAGCTCTCCTGTGGCATGGAGGGGACCCAAGAGTTCCCATATATGTGCCCTTGAAGGGGTCACAGTCCTACTAATCACATGGTCAGATGATAATATTTTTGTATATATTGGCTTAAATAAGTGTATTAGTAAAATGAATTTCACATTTCTTTTTTAATGTGACTACTAGGAAATGTGAAGTTACATATGTGGTCTGTATTTGTGGTTCACAGTATATTTCTATTGGAAAGCACTACTCTACAGGAAATGGGGAAGTAGAAAATCTGAAAGATGGAGTCATTTAAAAAGGAATTGAGTTAACCTAAAAACACTATTTCAGTTATTAGCTCCAAGTTAGTTTACCAGATTGGACTAACTTCAGCAGGTGTTTCCTACTACCCAGTAGTAAAGAATTTGTGAAAAAAACAGATACAGTTTCAAAAAATAAAGAAGCCACATTTTCTTGGCTTATGGGATGAAGGATTGAGTCATTTGTTTTCATGCTAAAATAAAGGGATTGAAGGACACCAGGACACTTATGCAATTGCATGCATCTAATAATAGAATACACAGTCTTAGGAATGGTGAGTTCAATGCTATAGAAAGTATTCAGATGTTCTAATCCCAATAGAAAGATTAAATACTCAATTGTATTCCTGAGTCTTCTATTTCTGGCTGTTTTTGTACAAATCATAAGCCATTCTACTCTTCAGTTCTCTTCTCATCTGTTACCTGGAGTTTGATGAAAATAAGTTTGGTATAAAACTTTGAGCTTCTAGTGCAAGTTGCAGCGCTCCAAAATCTTGTGACTATAGACTATCTACTGTTAAAAGAACATATGGGATGTGAACAGTTCCCAGGAATGTGTTGTTTTAATTGGTCTGATTTTTCTCAAACTATTCAAATTCAGTTAGACAATATCCATCATATCATGGATAAGTTTTCACAAATGCCTAGGGTGCCTAATGGTTTTCTTGGTTTCACTGGATATGGCTGGTAATTGTAGGTCTGCTTTGGTTATGTAGCTGTATTCCTGTTATGTTCATGTGTGCATGCAATTTAATTAGTAATTTAAAACCTATACATGCTTATGTTACACTACAAGAAGATATGTCAAAGAAATAATCAATCTTCCCATGTTTTCTTCCATCTGCTACTTCTATAGCTTCTCTTCTTTCTTCATAATTACAACCCCTAAGTAGAATTCGTGCCTCACTTCGAATTTACCGAGTATCATAATTCTTCCAAGTGGTAAAGATACCTCAAGACAAATGCTGGGCATAGAAGCCACAGGGCATAAATCTGCAAAGAAGTAAAAAGCTAACCTTTTCAAACAATATGGCTTCTGTCTCACTTACCAACTTTACATTTCCCTGTATGGCCCCGGAAGATGACTGGTTAGCCAGAGACGGGCAAGATTCCTCAAGGGAGGAACAACCTAAGACAGGCACAGTCGCAGGGGGGCCATCAGGTGAGAAATTGGGGATCAACAGAGGTGAGGCTTAGAACCTCACCCCCGCTGTTTTGAGAGAAATCTTCTGCATCCGTGGATGTTTTGCTGCCCTTGTCTAGCCTGGATTAATACTTAGTCTACAGGCACACACCTGATCATCTTCATCTCTTACAGCACTAAATTATGTTTTCTACCTTTATCTTGCATCTACCTACCACTTCAGCATTTTATTAAAAAAATAATAATAATAATAAGGGAGAAATGTGGGATTCACATATGAATCATGTATAAAAATCAAACAAATAATCATATCTGACTTGATTGTTTATAGTTCATGATGCGTGATCAAAACCAAAAGTTTCTGTGGTGACTGCCCTTGCACTGTTCACCATGTAAGAACTTATTCACTATGTAAGACCTTGTTCACCATGTAAGAACTTGTTCATTATGCCTCAGAAGATTGGAGACTGTTGAGAATTAGGCTTGGGGTTGACTAATGATTGTACATTGAGTCCCCTATACAGAATTTTATTGTTGTTAACAACCATATGATCAATAAATATGAGAGATGCCATCTCAAAAAATAAAATAAATAAAATAAATAAAAAATAAAATAAAATAAAAGATATAACCAAAAAAAAACTTTGAGCTTCTAACAGGAATACATGCTGTAATTGAACGTGATGCATTTCTAACCTTGATCCAGGAAAAGGGATCCTTGGTGCTCCAGGCATTGATTGATCCAGAATAATGAAGTCTGGCCAGCTCTGGGGCCCACTGTCCTTTGCCCAAGAAAAGGGAGAGAAGTTAGATTCAGGTGGGTTGGTCCTAGATCCTTGGGAACAAAATTTTTCTCTTGAGAAAGGTTAATCCTAACTTTGGTGAAGATAAAAGCTTAATGCATATAGTAGTATCAATGACTACCTAGGTGTTTTGTGTTTTCCTTGTCCTTGTCCATTTTATTTTCTAAAATTTAATAATTTTGTTGATTGCTAGCACCTCTAATTAGCTGATACTGAAATGCATTACTAGGACTACCAAATAATAATATTTCTTTATTACACAATGTATGTTTATTGTAGAAAAGTTAGAAAATTAAAAAAATAAGAATAAAGCATAAGTAAAAACAAAAATAAAAGAAATAAGAAACATCATCCTTTCACCCAGAGAGAAATTATACTATTTTGGTATATAACTCTCCAGCCTCCTTCTCAAAGAGAATTTTTATTCCCTCTAAACAAGGGTGGGCAAAATTTTTCTGTAAGGGCCAGAAAGTAAATAATTTAAGATTGTAGATCCTCTGTTCTCTGCTGCAACTACTTAACTGCTGTTGCAGAGTGAGAGCAGCCACAGATGATTGTCAGTGAATGGACGTGACTGTGCACCAATACAAGACTTTATTTATGGACACTGAAATTTTAATTTCATGTAATTTGCACATGTCAGGAGATCCCATTCAACTTTAAGTATCACTGCTCATAGAAAAATGTAGCTTCCTGCTACAGAGAAGAGATGGATTCAAGGGAGAGCAATATTGAAGGCATTGCCCAGGTGAGAAGTGACAGTGGCCTGAATTAAGATGGTCACAGTGGGTAATGAAGAAGAAAAGATGGATTTGGGAGACACCTATGGAGTAGAATGAATAAAAGCATGGAGATGGATTGGTTACCTGAATTGCTCCAATAGAAATAAGATATAATCAGTCCAGTTTGTGGATAGAAAATAATAGCATTTACCATATTGTCCTGAAGCTGTAATCTGAGAATCTCTAATGTGTCCAGAAGCCATTCCCAGTGGAGTCTGACACTCTGAAATCAAAAGAAGGGGACATAATAGCTAGAACTGCAGAAAATGCAGCTTCACAAATGCAAATCAATGAAAATGGGAGAACAGTAATAAATGTTCCTGTTTATTAGTGTTTACTATGTCAACTGTACAAGAACTCATTTAATTTGCCCCAACAGGCAATGCTAGAACAATTCACATTTGGCAGCTGAGGAAAAAATATTTTGAGTGCTAGTTTTTTAATTATTTAGAGCTTCAGGTTCAATGTGTTCAAAACTTCAAGCATATCTGTCCTCTGAGGACTGATGATTTCTACCAGCAGTTTTCATTTTGGATTTGGCAGTGACTGTGGGCTTGTGTTTATTTCTTGACAAAGGCGAAAAGCTGTATAGAAGGAGGCTGGGCAGGCGGGACGCCTCTGCCCACCGTGCTACTCACCCTTGCTGTACACCAGAAAGAGACTGCTTGTCCCAGCTTGTAGGTGCTCGCCCACAAGGCATTCTACCCGCCAGATTCCAGCTTTGGATGGTAACATTTCCACCGTCTCAAAAACGCCTATCAAAAACGAAAGGAAAACAATGATTTCTTTTCACAGACAAAATAAGCATGAGACACATTGGCTCACAGTATATCAAAGGAAATCTACCTAAGTCAGTTGCACCACTCTTGACCCCTCAAACCCAAAATCCTGTCAGAGGCACTGGACATTGAGTTCTGACAGCTCCCCACTCTGGGAAGAGACTGCTTCCCACAGTGGGAGAGACAGGGTGACAGACTGCTTTGGTGGGGGAGATAGGAGAAGGCTACTGCACTCCCAGGGTTATTCAGAGCCAAAGGTGTATTTCCCCTTGAGCAGATGTACGCTTCCTGAGAGAAGGAAGTCAGGGTGAAGTCCTCATGGATCTAGCCCACTAGGGTGCTTTAAGGACTCAAGTGACCCCAGCAGCAAGAAGCTGGAGATGAATGCGGAGAGGCTAAGGAATGAGTCACCATGTGACCAGTGACCACCCAGAATAAAGGTGGAACCAACCATGTCAAGGGACTTGATGAAAGACGGTCCCAAAAGAGAGTCTCTGAACAGCCCCTGAAAGTGCCTTGCAAGAAAGTCAGCTTTAAATATCTGCCAGGAGCAGACAGTATGAAACTGGCTTACAGCAATGGCTCCAGTTTTAAGTACGTAAGACCTTTCCAGCATCCAGCAAGGGAGGAAAGATCGAAGTTAAATCAAGTTCAAAATTTTGATTAATATCTTGGAGTGCACATTGTAATTTCTGATTTGAACATTTTTTTGTGATGTAAAGTGCCCGCAGGACTGTTTATTACTTGAAGGTGAGCAGAAAAGTCACTGGGCTTATCAGAATTTATATGCAGAAGCAGAGGACGTTTACTCCCACTATTAAACCTGTTTTAAAGGGACAGTGGATAAATAACATGAATATATTGGTTACATACACAAATCACTCTTTGAATGACTACTGGTGCCATGTGGGGTTTGTGATGGAAAAAAATCTCTTTTTCCTAGGAAAGTGCTGTGACATTTATTGTCCATTTATTCTGTTCTATTTCCTTTATAGCATATTATCTGTATTTGAAATTATCATGTTCCTTCACTAATTTATTTATTAGCTGTCTGTAAAGTTGCTTAAAAAAGCAAGGAGTTTGTTTCACTCACTGAGCATATCCCCAGTGCCTAGACCCTTGAAACTAAGTACTCAATAAGTACAGCAGGAGAAAGAGCACAAACTAGCTTATACCTGGATAAAGATTGTACACTGCCATTTTATACTCCTCTTTTTTCCGTACAGTGAACACATGTCCACTGAAATGAATAGAATGGATGTTTTCATTGCTGCCCATGCTGAGCAGATACCATCGAATCCTTTGATCCTGAGCCATTACTAAGCCAGGCAGTGTATCCATCACATAGCCATTGATTGCTGGAGAAGAACACAGAGAAGGTTGTTAAAATCTTCAGTAACAGTTTCTTCCCCTCCACTTTAGTAAAAAAAAAAAAAAAATGATTGACTCCTATGAGGATTCCACTCCCATACATATACTCTCTAGTTTGTACAATGTCCAAGCCTCAGGCTCAAGGCTCAGTTTTCATAGTGCATGCTGATTTCACCGTGATTAATGCTTGGGTGCGGGATATCTTACCATGGAAGCGATAATCTTCTTGAAAAGTGCGGTCCTCCATCTGGATATTGCAGGGAGCTCTGCAGTTCCTTTCCATGTTTTCAGTGAAGTACCAGCTCTTGGTCTCATCAAAAATAGTGAAAAACAGAGCGAATTCTTGCACTGTCACTTGTCTCCCATGAGCAGGGTTCAGCGTGTTACTGCGGCAGATCAGAATGGGCCCAATCAAGCCTGAGTGCACATCCTTTTCCTGAGAGGGGAGACATCAATCCTATGAGCATAAGCACTCTCACCTGTGAACCGGAGTACATTTCTCATCAACCTTTATGCTACTCCAACCCACTCCCCATCTTCTAACAGGAATATAGCACAAATATGATGGCATCTCCCCTATTTAAAGCTTCTCATTATGCTTAGGATGAATACCAAAATTCTTAGCAGATAATACACAGGGTATGTCTTCTAAACCAAAAAGCGGCCAGCACAAGGTAGACTTGCTTACCAGATCAACATCAGAAAAATAAGCCCAAGCTTTGCAGTCAAACTCTTCTTTAGTGGGCGCCATGTGATGTTGCACTTTCCAAAAGTAAATTTCAGTTTCATTAGGCTTGACAAGCTTTTTTCTAGGTTGGGGTCCTTGCTGCTGATCATCCTCATAAGAAATAAGGCTAGAATAAAAGGAATAAGGACGAGAGGCCTGGTTTTTGAAAGTTACCTGCAGAGCCAAAAAAAAAAAAAAGAATGTAAGTATCATGTCTTAGGATTTTAAACTTTAATATGCAGAGGAAGTGGTACCGAGGATGGATGTTGTTAGAACCCAAACCTAAAGACCTACCAAAGAAACTCTGAGGAATTTTTAAATTCTAAAATCTTTAAGGCATGAATTCAAAGTTGCAAAGGAGAAAATTCAGAAATACATAAAAGCAACTCCAAAGAAAAAGGGAAAATGTCGTCATGGGGTTTTTAGGAGACCATGACTCCATGAGTTGATACTTAAGGTTCTTCATGACAAATTCTAGGATGAATGCATGTGATCTTTAGAAAATACATGTTTTTCAGATTTAAAAAATTATACATGTTTCATAGGACATATGGAAAGCAAAATAAAATTCAAGGCAAAAGATAGTCACCCCCGGTAACATAAATTTAGATACTTATACATGACCCACCCTTAATGTAAACAATCAATTGGGACAATGAATGACTATTTTTAGAAAATAATAAAACTACTTTGATCTCTGGCTCACACCACACACCAAATATGTATACAGGAATTACTGGTGGATTAAAAAGCTGAATGTTAAGAAATTAAACTGTAAAGGAAATCTGAACAAAGTGTAGGTGATTTTAAGAAAAAAATCTTGGTATAGGGAAGGATTTTTATAAACATAAAAGCTATGAAAGTGTCATAAGGGTTTATAGGCTACTACCCAAAAATTCAAACATGTTTTATTTTAAAAAACACTATATGTAAATTAAGATACAACAAACTTGGAAAAATACTCTTCACTAAAATGATCAATGATCATTAATACATTAATGATCTATAATATATATAGTAATATAAATTAAGAAAAGCTCCAAATTAAGAACTCCCTCCAAAAATGTCAAATGTGCAAAGGACATTAGAGAAAGACTTAATGTTCATGTACATTGCACTTCTGGAATTTTATCCTAGGAATAGGGTTTGTGATTACAGCATTATTTAAACACTGAAAAAATTAACTTTCTAAAAGTTTGTTCCACGTAAATGGTTAACTAAACCATAAATTTATATGCTATCATTTAAAAAAAATACCTAGGAAATGTTTTCAATGATATAAGAGATGTTTATGATAGGATATTTAGTCAAAAAAGTAGAATTTGCATTGTATAATTTTGCATAAAGAGAAAACATAGGAAAAAGATAAGAACATATATCAAAATGATAACTATGGGATTATTTTTCAACTTTACTTTCTGTACTTTAAAAGTGAGAATATATTATTTTTATAATCAGAAACAACTAAAATATATATAGAATTAATATTCTTGCAATTCCATTGTCCTCAACTCACCATGATATTGTCTTCAACTTCTGCTCTTATGTATGGCCCCAAGAGTCCCAAATGTTCATTTAGTTCTCCACGGTATAGGGGCTGAGTAAAGGAGCCATCAGTAAATTCCTGGAAAACCACCTTCTTGAACTGAGGGACACCTCCACTCTGAGCCCTGGAGAAAAAAATCAGAGGAAAAGCAATATCATCATGGGCCAGGTGGCTAAAAATGTCTCACATTCTTGCCTTCCCTGTGTTTGAGATACATTTAGCAAATTGATGATTAATTGGAAGTGTAATGGGCAGGGAGGCGAGAAACAGGGATATGAGATAACTTCTAGGCTTCTGATTTAGGTAAATGGATGGATGGTGATGTAATTCATTGAGATGGGGAACCCTAGAGAAGTAGGTTGGGGTATACAATTTTGGACATGGAACATCTATGTGAATTAAATTGGCAAATTCACAGAAGTTGGGAGTTCACAAAAGAGGTCACAATGAATATCATTCATATTTAGATGGTATCCAAATCATGTGAGTGACTTATCAAAGCCAATAGTCAATTTTGTTATGTCCTTATCTTACTTGACATCTAACCAACGTTTGGCATAGTTAACCACTCCATCCACCTTCATATACTCTCTCCAGGCTTTGCTAGTATGTAAGTTCCATGAAAGCAAGGGGTTTTGTCTGTTTTGTTTACTGCTGTATTCCCAACAGCTGGAACAAGTGACTGGCACATGAGGGCTCAAAAAATGTTGGATATTGAATGGATGTAGGGTTTAAAAAATATTCTAAATGTAATAGAATATATATTCTCAGGGTTCAGTCCTTGGGCCTCTTTTATTTACTTTAAAGAAATCTGTTAAAACTGTAAACTAAAATTATACAATAACGTGCATAAAACATAAATGCTTTTGGTACAAAAATGCAACCACCGTCCAGATCAAGAACATTGCCAGAAACCCAGAAGACTCACTGTATTGCCTTTCCAATCACATCTTCTCCCACCAACCCCCACTGACAATAACCCCTACTCTGGTGTTTATGATAATTATTTATTTTGCTATTTTTCAAAGTTGTACCACTTACGTGAACTTCCCTAAAGAATATTTTTAGTTTTGTCTGTTTTTGAAGTATGTAAATGGAACCATATTGGGGTTTTTGTTTTTTGCCAATTTTTCTATTGGATAATCTGCTTTTTCTTACTGATTTATATGAGTCTTTTGTTGGCCTTTTGTGCTGCAAACATCTCCCATTCGGTAGCTAATCTTTTCATTCTCTTTTCACTATCTTTTGATGAGCATAAGTTCATAATTTTAATGTAGTGAAATTTATCTACAAATCCTTCATGGTCAGTGCTTTTTGTATCTTGATGTCAGTTATCTTTCTTTCCCTACGTTGGGATTATTAAGTATGCTCTTATTTTCTCTGAGAGATTTATGGTTTTATGTTCACATTTAGACTTGATTTTAGTGAATGATGACCTAATGATTCGATTTAATGTTTATCTATATGGACATAAAAAATTTCTCAGCATCTTTTACTGAAAACTGCTCTTCTATGATACCTTTGTCATAAATCAAGTGTCTATATATGTGTATCTAGTTTTGGATTTTCTGTTCTGTTTCATTGACCTATTTGTTTACCCCATGCCAATTACCACACTGTTTTAATTGCTATAGTTTAAAGTAAGTAATATGTTATACAGTAATTCCTCCCATCTCTTTCTTCAAGAAGGTCTTGGCTACTCTTGGCCTATTGTGTTTTCATAGTAACTTTAAAATCAGCTTGTTGAATTCTACAAGAGAAAAGACTTGCTGAGATTTTCATTTGGGGTTGTACTGAACCTAAGGTCAGTTTGGGGTTAACTTACATTTTCACAATTTTTCATTTTCACATCCATGTACATGGTATATGTTGGCATTATTTAGTTCTTCTTTAAAGTTTCCTAATACATTTCCATACTTTTTTCCATAGAGGTCTTATAAAACTTTTGCTATACTTACTTCTAGGCACATGTTATTATTTTATTCCACTGAAAATGTCATGTTCTTTTAATTTTATTTTCCATAACTGTCTGCTGCTATTATATGGAAATATAATTGATTTTTAAAATTATTAGTATTTTTTATTTTGGTATCATTAATATACACTCACATGACAGCATTGTGGTTACTAGATTCCCCCCATTATCAAGTCATGTCTCCTTAGTCTCCTTGAATCTGGGGCAGTTTCTGAGCCTTTTCCTGTCTCTCATGACTTCTACACTTTTGAAAAGGACTGGCCAGTTATTTTGCAGAATGTCCCTCAATTTGGGTTTGTCTGATGCTTTTTCCTGATTATAATAAGGTTATGTATTTTTAGGAAGAATACCATAGAGTAATGTGCCCTCTCAGTCCTCCGTTTCTGGGAATACATAATAAAGTGATGCTGACTGTAATCACTTGACAAAGGTGGTGTCCACTGGGCTTTCACATTATAGTTACTACAGCTTGTAATTAAGAAATTATCTGGGAAGATTCCTTACTCATATGCTACTCTATAATATTCTATATCTATCTTTTTAATGCCCTGCATGAGATGCTTATATTGTTCTATACAGACCATTATTTTATTGAATTTATACGTGTCTAACATTTTACTTGCTCATTATTTCTTCTTGAATTTCAGACCATCCTCTGTACCTTTTTCCTCTTCCTTAAAGTACATCTTTTTTTTATTAAGGTATCATTGGTATACACTCTTATGAAGGTTTCACAAGAAAAACAATGTGGTTACTACATTCACCCATATTCTCGAGTCCCCCCCATACACCAATGCAGTCACTGTCCATCAGTGTAGTAGGATGCCACAGAGTCACTACTTGTCTTCTCGGTGCTGCACTGTCTTCCCTGTAACCCCACCACCACACCATGTGAACTAATCATAATGCCCTTCAATCCCCTTCTCCCTCCCTCCCCACCCACCCTCCCCCATCCCTCCCCTTTGGTAACCACTAGCCCATTCTTGGATTCTGTGAGTCTGCTGCTATTTTGTTCCTTCCGTTTTGCTTGGTTGTTATACTCCACAAATGAGGGAAATCATTTGGCACTTGTCTTTCTCCACCTCGCTTATTTCACTGAGCATAAAACCCTCTAGCACCGTCCATGTTGTTGCAAATGGTAGGATTTGTTTCTTTCTTATGGCTGAATAGTATTCCATTGTGTATATGTACCACCTCTTCTTTATCCATTCATCTACTGATGGACACTTGAGTTGCTTTCATTTCTTGGCTATTGTAAATAGTGCTGCAATAAACATAGGGGTGCATATGTCTTTTTGAATCTGAGAACTTGTATTCTTTGGGTAAATTCCTAGGAGTGGAATTCCTGGGTCAAATAGTATTTCTATTTTTAGTTTTTTAAGGAACCTCCATATTGTGTTCCACATGGTTGAACTAGCTTACATACCCACCATCAGTGTAGGAGGGTTCCCCTTTCTCCACATCCTCACCAGCATTTGTTGTTCCTTGTCTTTTCGATGTTGGCCAACCTGACTGGTGTGAGGTGATACCTCATTGTGGTTTTAATTTGTTTCCCTGATAATTAGTGATATGGAGCATCTTTTCATGTCCCTGTTTGCCATCTGAATTTCTTCTTTGGAGAAGTGTCTGTTCAGATCCACTGCACGTTTTTTAAATAGGGTTATTTGCTTTTGGGGTGTTGAGGTATGTGAGCTCTTTATATAATTTGGATGTCAACTTGTTATCGGATCTGTCATTTATGAATATATTCTCCCTTTTTGTTCTGCTGATGGTGTCCTTTGCTGTACAGATGCTTTTTAGTTTGATGTAGTCCCACTTGTTCATTTTTGCATTTGTTTCCCTTGCCCCAGGAGATATGTTCAAGAAGAGGTCACTCATGTTTATGTCTAAGAGATTTTTACCTATGTTTTTTTCTAAGAGTTTAATGGTTTCATGACTTACATTCAGGTCTTTGATCCATTTCAAATTTACTTTTGTGTATGGGCTTAGACAATAATCCAGTTTCATTCTCTTGCCTGTAGCTGTCCCATTTTGCCAGCACCAGCTGTTGAAGAGGCTGTCATTTCCCCATTGTATGTCCATGGCTGCTTTGTCATATATTAATTGACCATATATGCTTGGGTTTATATCTGGACTCTCTAGTCTGTTCCACTGGTCTATGGGTCTGTTCTTGTGTCAGTACCAAATTGTCTTGATTACTGTGGCTTTGTAGTAGAGCTTGAAGTTGGGGAGCGTAATTTCCCCAGCTTTATTCTTCCTTCTCAGGATTGCTTTGGCTATTCTGGATCTCTTGTGGTTCCATATGAATTTTAGAACTATTTGTTCCAATTCGTTGAAGAATGCTGTTGGTATTTTGATAGGGATTGCAGTGAATGTGTAGATTGCTTTAGGCAGGATGGCCATTTTAACAATATTAATTAATTCTTCCTACACAAGAGAATGGAATGTGTTTCCATTTATTAGTGTCTTCTTTAATTTCTCTTAAGAGTGTCTTGTAGCTTTCAGAGTATAGGTCTTTCACTTCCTCAGTTAGGTTTATTCCTAGGTTTTTTATTCTTGTTGATTCAGTTGTGAATGCAGTTGTTTTTCTGATTTCTCTTTCTGCTAGTTCATCATTAGTGTATAGGAATGCAACAGATTTCTGTGTATTAATTTTGTATCCCACAACTTTCCTGAATTCAGATATTAGTTCTAGTAGTTTTGGAGTAGATTCTTTATGGTTTGTTATGTACAACATCATGTCATCTGCAAACAGTGACAGTTTGACTTCTTCCTTGCCAATATGGATGCCTTTTATTTCATTGTGTTGTCTGATTGCCGTGGCTAGGACATCCAGAATAAAAGTGGGGAGAGTGGGCATCCTTTTCTTGTTTCCAATCTTAAAGGAAAATCTTTCAGCTTCTTGCTGTTCAGTATGATGTTGGCTGTGGGTTTGTCATATATGGCCTTTATTATATTGAGGTACTTGCCCTCTATACCTATTTTGTTGAGAGTTTTTATCATGAATGGATGTTGAATTTTGTCAAATGCTTTTTCAGCATCTATGGAGATGATCATGTGGTTTTTATCCTTCTTTTTATTGATGTGGTGGATGTTGCTGATGGATTTTCGAATGTGGTACCATCCTTGCATCCTGGAGATTAATCCCA